GCTTCATGACCCGGCCCTGCTCCATAGATCCCCTAAGAGGCTGAGCCTAAGTGGAAATAAAGTATTTTGGCTATTTATCCAATCAGGGCTCTACTCTCTCGTTCCCTAACTCAATAGATCAAGGCTCAGAAACGTGGTTATTGTGCTGGACCTGACAAAGAAGGATTTAAATGCTTGAATTTTTTTTTGCACTCTGTGTAAAGCATCAAATCCTGAGAAACCTTAATTTAGTTCAATTGTTAAGTATCTTTGCTGATAAATCCCATATCTTAATTAACCATTCAAAGCATTTCGTCCCTCAAAGACCTCCCCAGAGATTCGGAGCTGCAGCAGTTTGAAAAATAATGGGCATAATAACAGGCATGCTAAGATTCACAATGGGAAGTCTAAAACACGGATGTAGGTGCGTTTGCAACAGAGATGGAGATGAAAGAGAAGGAGAGAAATAGCTTTGCAGGCTGAAATACAGATGAGCTAATGAAAGCCAAGATTTGGACATAAAATACAGAAATAGGGGCAAGAGAGAAGCAAAAGAAAAGGCAAGACAGTTCATAAACAAAAGCTGCTTTAATTACACACCAAGAGTTGCCTTAGATGTAACAGTTTTAATTAAGTGTTTCCACTTCTGACCTTTTATCGTCTTTTGGGTTTATATAATGAGAGAAAGTCAAAAGAAAAATCTATGCAAAGACGATAAACATTTCATAAGTACTGCAGTTAATCAAGTATTTAAAGTAATGTCCTCATTATGAAAACTGTTTTTGGTTTGTGTCTGAAATTAACTCTTATTGTAAATATACATCTTTAGTGGCGTAGTCATAAAAACATGGATCAACATCACTTTTAGTCCAATGAATCGGAAGAAGCTGAAGCTTAACTGACCTTTGTTGTTTGGCACCATGGATCAGAGATGAGCAAAACTATAAGACATTACAGCAAATTGTTTACAGTAAGTGAAAGGAGCACTGTATTTCTATTGATAATGTCCTGTTAATCGCAGATTAAGGTGAGATAATGTTCTGAAGGATCTCTATAGCAGTATGAGCATTGCTAAACTTTAGTTTATTTGTTAAACCTGGCTTTATTATAATTTACCTTCAGGTTCCCGATCCTTTCTTAATCATCCTTTTGGTTTGTCATTTTTGGAGGTCTCACATCCACACTGGAAGGTTTTATAAAAATCTACAATATTGTGAGGCTCCTGTGCCTCTAACATCGGTTTCAGCATTGCTTTCAAGTCAGAAAAACCATCAAGTTTCCTATGATCTGATCAGTGTCATAAGAGGCTGTGTCTGATTATCTGTACAAAACCCTTTGCACAATTAAGGATGCCATTTGTAAAATCATTATGAAACATTTCTGAAAACCCTTTTTTATAGCAGTTGCTCTCTCAGACACTACTTTTAATGCTTTTTTTAAAGGATTTAATTAAGGACTGATTGAATATCCTAGATGAGGAAGTATTTTAGAAGCTGGTACTTTATCTTCTTGTGATGCAGGTTCTAAAAAAAACTCGAAAAATCCAGTAAGTCGAAGGTTTATTTGAAAAGAAGACATGAAATCAGCTACAAAATTCTAACCTTTATATGTATCTGTTAGACGTCATATGGGAAAAAAAAAGATGCATTAATGTTTTCCTTCTCCAGTGTCCTTATTACCAAATACTAGGCAAAGGTGCAAGTGAAGACTTAAATGTATGCCTCTTTTTTTCTGAATTTGATCTCATGTGATTCACATGTTAAAATATTTTACTATAAAGAGGAGCCTGTATGTGTTGGCTGCAGACATTGAGACACAGTGCAACTTCATTACGCTCTTAGCAGAGGTCTACACGGTAGCCAAATGTAACACATTAGAATAAAAAGAAACAGAAGCCAGCCTACCTACATTCCTACATACCCATCCATCCAAATATACACACAGAAATGCATGATTTACTAATCAATAAGTATCTATCACTATTTGACTTTCTTAGTAAAAAAATAAATAAACCTACAACATGTATATTTCACACTGTTTATCACAAAACATCGATTTATTTTATAAAACAGTTAATCAAGTAATGATGAAGATATGTTAAAATAAAATTAAGAAAAACATACAGACTATTTGAACAATGAATGAAGATCTTCTAAATAAAACAGATTCCCAACTCTTATTGCCTGGTGTCATCAAGCATTTGCATATATATATTCCTGCTATGGTTGAACAGCAGCAGCAGAAGAAAATTAAATCAGAAATTCTAATCAGTGCCAGTTACACGGTGGTGATGGTTTATGCAACAGGTGGCAAGCACTAAAAAAACAAGAATGTTTTTGCCTTTACTGCTGATTGCAATATCTTCTTTGTTTCAATCACTGCTAGAAACTTCAATGATGAAGGGCACAGAGTAATGTATCATTGTGAAGTGGGAGAAGATGCAAATTTTTGCTGCAGTTAAGGCTATATAAATGTATCACACATAGAGTGCCTTTAAAGACACAAGGTCACATAGTGATATACAATTTCAATCAAATGTATATTACACATATCATTTAAAAAATAAGAATATACACAATACAATCATGACTCTAAACCCCGGTAGTCCAAAAAGGTTATTAATAGTTTCTTATTCCCATAGGGTCGGTAGGCGGAGTTGTAGGAGCAAGTTTAGGAGCCATAGATTGGAACGCCCTTTACCTTTAGCCCCAAAGCTTTGTACAATCAGGAGATTCTTGGATTGAGTTGGAGGGCTATAAACTGCTCTGGGCTGGGTAAAAGCCAACACAGAAAACCAGGAAGGCTTTAAAACACATTCTGAAATCTACAGAGGGCTTGTGTACAGAGTATAAAACCAATGTGACATGAGTGTGCTGACAGGATTAGAAGAGAAGTCAGGATCCGTGTTCTGAATGGGCTGATTCATACAGACCGGTGAACAGAGCATTGCAGTAGTCTGATGAAATGAATGCATGTGTCTTTGGCTATGAACATTTGTTGCGTGTAAAATAGGTCAATCTCAGTCAGATCAGATAGAAGTGTCAGTGGACATCGATTTTAAGCATAGCCACAAATTCTCGATTGGACTTCAATCAGGGCTTTGATTTGGCCGTACTGGCAAATTAATATACTCAGATTTAACCATTTCATTGCAACTCTAGCTGCATGTTTTGGGTTGTTTCTGGTTGGAGTATGAACTCTTTTACACCCTTTAACAAGGCTCTCACTGTGAATTTGCTTCCACCTATATGCCAACACTTGCGTCCTCTAAAAGGTCTAATTAGGCAAACTTTATTCATCTTCAGTCTGATGTTAAACCTTACCTCTGAACAGCTAAACAGTAAGCCTTTGGTGGACTCCTGAGCCCCCTCCTGTAAATACGGTCCAGTATGACGTGGATATAAGCAAACTACTGTGCTGCATTCAGACCGCAACTTTCCAATAGTTGCTTTCTAAATGTATAAACAGGAGCGGCTTTTTTACAGAACTCGAACTTCTGCTACTGTTTACTAACTTTCCCAATTTGCATGCTTGAAAAAAGCTCCACTAGTTGGCGTTTCAGCAGACATCTGGTCTTTGGGTATCTCAAGCTTCTCTTGGGTGCTTCTCTGATTAAGCTTATCTAGACAAGTCTGCCATGTCTGTTGTTTTTTGCTAAGTCTGGTCTGGCGTTCGTTCTTCTGGTGGTAATGTATTTTATTTAGAGGTATCAGAGAAAACGGGGTGGGATAAAGTTGTATTTTATATGTAATGCTACTTACTAATGATTTAACAAATTACAAAAATCACAGTAAAAAAAGTCAAAATATAATTTAAAAAAGTGACTAAATGTAAAACCTGTCATGCACTGCTAGGCAATTTATTATATTTTTTGACACACATTTCATCATAAATAATTTCTCTCATTGAATATAACTGAATATACGAACCCCAACATTGAACTTACATCTGTGTCAGGACCCTTATCGGCACCAGGACAGGAGAAGCCGACAAACTCATGGCACCGTTTGTGGACCACGAAACAACAAACTGAGGAAGAAAAGAAGGAGAAGGGAAAAATGATTTTAGTTTACTGATTTTCTCTAGATGATCTGCAGACCTTAATCTGAACAGGGGATTTCTAAGAACATAGTGTTTTAATCTTTTTCTATTTCATGTTCTTTTTTCAGCAGAGTTTAGTCAAAAGAGAAAAATGCTTAAATGATCAGTGTGCTGATAACCTTGTGAGTAAACTATCATCAATCAACATAAAACTGGGTTACAAAGAGAAACAATGAAGCAAATGGATGGAGACAAACAAATGCATGTCTACACCCACACTCAGTCCCGCAAGAACAAAACATGGAACATAATATTCTGTGTTCTTTAAATATTGTCTTCTTCTACTCTGTTGGGCTTGGTAGAAATTGTGCTCTTGCCTTCCACTGAACTGGGATCTATCCATCCAACATGTCACTCAGTGTGACATGACTGACACGGCACCTGACAGGTCTCAATGACATCAATAGTGACATTTACATTTGGACCTTGTTGCAGATCCAGAGGGAAGAGCAAAAACTCATGGACATCTGTGACAGCTTGCACACAAGCTGACTGTATTTTTCTCCATCATTATCTAAAATTTGCTATTCTTCTCTTCTTTTTTTTTTCTTCTTTAAATTATTTTCACAGGATCTGTCTGCTGCGCTCTCTGTCAAGCTGCCTGCCTGTTCATGTGTGCTTTTGTGATGTCTCACCACAGAATACGTGTGGTTTTTGTGTTTCCCAGTGCCAGCTTAGTCGCTGTTGCCAGACAATCTGACGGGTGCAGATGAAATAACAGAAAGTGGTTTACAAAGAAGTCCAAGAAACAGTGGGGGATTTCTCAGTCTGTGCAAAACAATGGACGGACAAATGGATGGATAAATGTACAAATGAATACATGGGTAGATGGATGACAGTACGGCTGCAAAATAAATCAAACATTGAACATTATCATTAATTTATGACATTTAATATCAATATCATGAAAACAGCTTAGAGTGAGACAATGATCAGCTAACTCTATCCATTCAACCTTTCAGTAAAACTAATTCCAGTTTCAGAGTTCCAGTAGATTGTTTGATTATTCACTATCTAAAAATAGAAAAACAAGGGAACACTTAAATAACACATCCTAGATCTAAAGGAATAAAATATTCTCATTGAAAACTTTGTTTTGTACAAAGTTGAATGTGCTGCAGCACAACCACACAGGAAAAAATCAATGGAAATCAAATTTATTAACCGATGGAGGCCTGGATTTGGAGTAAGACAAAATAAAGTGGAGGAACACACTACAGGCTGATATAACTTTGATGTCATGTCCTTAAACAGGTCAAAATGAGGCTCAGTATTGTGTGTGGCCTCCACGTGCTTGTATGACCCCCCTACAATGGCTGGGCATACTCCTGATGAGGGGACTAAAGCTCTGGACTAAAGCACTTGCCAACTCCTGGACAGTCTGTGATGCAATGTGATGCTAATGGATGGATGGAGACATGATTTCCCTGATTGAGACATGTTCTCAATCAGATTCAGGTCAGGGGAATGGGCGAAGAATGCCTTCCACTTGCAGGAACTGCTGACACACTCCAGCCACATGAGGTCTAGAATTGTCCTCCATTAGGAGGAACCCAAGGCCATCCACACCAGCATATGGTCTCACAAGGGGTCTGAGGATTTCATCTTGGAACTTAATGGAGGTCATGATACCTCTGACGAGCACATGGAGCACTGTGCGGAACTCAAAACAAATGCCACCCCACACCATTACTGACCCACTGCCAAACCGGTCATGTTGAAGGACTTTGCTGCCAGCAGATCGCCCACCACTGGCATTTTTTGGCCAATGCCAAGTATCCTGCATGGTGAGAGGCTGTGAGCACAGCCACCATCTGTGGACATCGGGCCCTCATACCATACTTATAAAGTCGGTTTCTAAATGTTTGTGCAGACACATGCACATTTGTGGACTGCCGGAAGTCATTTTGCAGGGCTTGTCCTGCAAACCTTTGTGCCACAGCTCGCATTGATGTCCCATCCTGGATGAGCTGCACTACCAGAGCCACTTGTGTAGGTCGTAGAGTCCTTTCATACTACAAATTGAATAGAGACCAAAACATCAGCCAGAAAGCATAGGTACAGTGAAGTGGTCCTTACTTGCAGAACCACTCCTTTATTGAGTGTATCTTGCTAATTGCAAATATTTTCCACCTGTTGTCTATTCCATTTGCACAACAGCATGTGAAATATATGCCACACACACACACACACACACACACAAACACATATATATATATATATATATATATATATATATATATATATATATATATATATATATATAAATATATATATATATACACATATACGTACATATACGGTACACATATACATACATATACACATATATACGATACTGCACTAAAATGGTGGTATCGGCAAGTATTGACAAATAGGGCACGAATACCAAATAGGGCACCAATACCTGTTTGAGAGCCAAAACTTTATTCAACTATTGTCACCTATTCCCGGTAGGCAATAAAATGTTGTACTGGATTCACTTTCTATTAGGCTACTCGTGCTTCACAAAGGTAGGCAGCAGTTTGATGAAGCCATGATGGTAATTATTTTACATCCGAGTAGTATGCAGTTCTCTATATACACACACACACACAAACACATCAATTTCAAACACATGGTATCGGTATCGGCCAATACTGCACAGCCAGCTTTCGGGTATCGGTATTGGGGCCAAAAAAAGAAAATAGCATTTAAACTATATAATTAGGCATTTTGCCTACAATCTTTTGCCTTATAAATGTCCATAATACACCAAGTCCTTTTTCAGCTGCTGCTATTCTCTTGCAATGATTTACACAGACAAAAACCAGAGGTTGTTTAGAGCAACATTACTGTGTGTTTAAACTCAAACTAGCACCAGAGGATCAACAGTGTGACAGCTGCATTGTTGGCATGAACAGCATGCCATGCACACACTTAACCCATACTCTGCACTGCCGGCTCAGAGGTAAGTCAGCCGTAGAGGAACTTCAAACCTTGACTCTGCCTCTGTATTTCCGCACAAGACTTCAAAGCAGAAATAGGTGCATAAGATCCAGATGGACAAAGCTTTAAAAAGCCTGAGCTTATACAAAGCTTTAGGGTCCATAATATAATTTTTACTACAGTGCCAGGTACCTTAAACTTAGTTTACTGAACAACCCTAGTCTGTCAGCTAAAATCACAGATTCCAGGAGTTCTTGTGACACCGTTTGTTCTCTAATATTCTTTAACAAGCCTCTAAGGCCTTCTGAAAACAGTTATATCTATACTAGGAAATAAAAGGCACACAGGTGGACACTATTTGCACATGAGTGGATTTATACAGGGAATCAATTGTAGGCCATTAGATCTAGGGGAATTACTATAAATGGGGCACTCAAAAATGTTAGAAAAAGAAAGCATATGCAAGATTCATTTATTTCTTTATATATCAAATATATTGAAGCTCAATTTTTTGATATGACAAAATACAATAAAACATTTAAAATGGTATGAATACCTTTTTCAAGGCTGAGTAAAAACACAAACATCCCAACTAAAATATTTCATTATATGTTTAACTTTGATTAATTTAAACTATCCTTTGTAAAAAGATAATGAAAACTTCTTAAAATTTCTTTCACCTTTTAAACTTAATGCTCTTTATTCATAAAGTTCGCTAGAAGCTAGCGATTTTAGTCCGATTTCCTGCATAGCCATCCTACATCTGACCTAAATCTTTGCCTTCGAAGTTCAGAAGGGAAACTCCACCATCTAGAATAAAAAATGTTTTAAACCGAATGTCAATATATTGCGGGATAGCATGCAACCATCCGGTTGTCTTAGTGCAGCCTACGTACAGTACATCTATCATGGGTATTAATGCATCTTCAGAAGACTGGATCTTAAGCTCAGTTCTTTGCCATTGCTCACACCATGAGCCATACAGCCTACACCCCCATCCCCGCCTCTGTTTGTTGTTGACCCGTCTGAATGTCTCCTGATGAGTTAAGTGAAGTGACTCTACACTGATCTCAGTTCAGAGGTATCGGAGGGCCAGTAAGCGGCATGTAGAGGAAAGGATAAATCTAGCTTTGGGCAGTCTGTGTGCATCACTGTGCAAGAGTCAGTGTGCATGTTAGTGAAGCTTATCCAAGACAGAGACAGTATCTCTCTGTGGCTATAATCCCTGGCGCTGGCTTTTGGCTGCATGAACACACAATGAATCGTACAGAAATCTAAGCAGTCTTGAAAGCATGAAAGCCAATGTGGTGGAATGACTGACACCTAGATGCTCTCTGCAAACTCATGAATGATGACAGTCACAGTTTCCCCCTAGAAGAATTGAAAAACAACAAAAATAAGCAATGCTTTTCTTTCGCCTACTGGGATTTGAGTAGTGAATATCTATGAAATATTTTAACTTTTTTTTTTTGTTATTTGGATTCAGGATTGTAAATCAAAATAGTTGTATTCATTTCCATGTCCTAATTAAGAAAGAAAGGAAGGCAGATTCAGCTGAGAGTACAGCCAAAAGTTGCTGCAGATAAAGTAGACATTATGTTTGGTATGCTGAACTCTGGCTTCATCACATAACAATGGCCAACCAAGAAGACGGTAGCCAAGTCTCCACCTCAAGTGTGAACTAATAAGGCAAAGATTATCTACTCAACGGAAAATAGTTGTGATAAGTTAGAGCTGAAATTCTCCCTTTACCCCAAATATGAAGTGATTGCTTGATAACTAATTGTGAAACAACAGTAAAGTAAATGTAACACTACCATAACTACAATTCTTTCCAAAGAAAGTAAAGTTATTTTGACTTAATAAAATTTTTTTATGATTTTTGGTCCTCAAAAGTCACTTCAAACCAAAACATTTAAACACTTTAAAAAAGTTTTTCTCTATTATTCCTCATGCACTAGTGGTAAAGTCAGGAGATTTAAAAAATATGACAAATAAAG